TCCAGTTGTGATTGCGCCCCTTATATTCTCTTAATCCAGCAAGTGGTTGTGTCGTGGGGGGAGCGTGAACACGCCACCTTCACTGGCTTCCCTGCGCGGGCTTCGAGCTCTGCTTGCGATCGCTTTCCCCTCCTAATCCAGCGAGTGGCTAAGTTTGGTATGTTAACTAACATCGTTCAAGCAAGCTAGCCGTACGGTATCAATCTATTGGGGCTGCAGAATCAGACCTCGCCAATTGGTGTTTTTATCTGTACAGTAGGTGGCGTACCTTGTGGAATTATTGACCGAAATCCTGAAATGTGTTTTTAGCTAAAAGAATTATTTGGATAGACTTGTGATATTGATCGTCGGACAGCATAATCCCATGATATTTTAGTCACTCCAGAATGCCGGCTAATGGATGCGCTTCTCTTAGATCGCCCGCAACTAGTACAGTCGGTAGAATGTGACCACTTAGGCAATATGCATTTTTAGAAGTCAAGTCCGGCAAAAGTACGCTTTCGATTATTCGTCATCAGGCCTGTACCGTAATATAAGGGAGGGTGGAAATAACGAAAGTTAAGCATTCAATGAAAGCCAATGTGGAGGAGAGGATTTAAAGGCGTTCAGAGCGCAGTGTCCTGATGATGAAAGATCGAAAGCGTACATTTGCGGGACTTGACCGATCTCATGAAATGTTGTCCGAAGTCCAGAAATGCGTTTTCGATTTGGAAGGATTACTTAGGTGGGGTTGTAACACTAATTACCATGCGGCATATTTCAGTAATATTTCGGACTCGCCAGGACGTCGGCTTTTGAATACACTTTTTTTCGATCTCCTGCAAAACCTAAATTCGGCAAAAAAAATGACTACTTATGTAGCATGCATTTTTCGCATTGATTTTCGATGTTCTTATAAATTCAAATATATTTTATAGAAAACATGCACAAAATATGCTTTCTTCTACTCATTCGGTGGTAAATCACGTCGGCTTTATATTTCATGCTTGAAGACAGGGTATATTTAGGTTCTAAAGAAGTTTTTAATTATAAGATTTTCAAGACCGTGCAATGTACATTTATACAGCATGGTACCTGTCTTTTTGCCATTGCTCCTCATGAAATGTACAACACAGTCAGCATTCATTACAAAATTTCATGAAATCTAAATTGTATCTTCGTAAGGGCATAGAAGAATAAATTATTTTCCTTACACGGAAAGCATGCACCTCGCAGAATAAAACTGCTAAACGCGAATGCAACGGCTGATCTGGCTTAAAATTATTCGGGAATAGGGAAACCTTCTAGTACCTAAATATACCCTGTCTTCAAGCATGAACTGTAAAGTCGGCGTGATTCACGACCGAATGAGTAGAAGAAAGCATATTTTGTGCATGTTTTCTATAAAAT